GGAGTGCTCCTCTGTGATAAAGTAAGAGGGGTACGCAAGTGCATAGATTACCAGCCCTTAACCAATCATCGTAGACAGGCCCGCTCTACATTAACAGCAATGACCTTCCCACCAGTGGTGACAGTCACCTGTCAGCAACGTCTCACTCCTGGCATTTTCAGGGCTCAGAGATGAGAAATAATTAGGCCACGACAATCCTCTAGGGTTAAACCCGGGCCACAAGTCATCATGCCAGGGCTCTGTCACAGGGGTCAGAGGTCAAAATCAGCCAATGATATGATCTCCACATCATAGCCAAGATCGCACAGCTTGTGGGAGGGTCACCAAAGAGAGATCAGGTTATCAGACCGAGCTTCCCCTCTGAGAAGAGTGATGCATTCAAATCCTCATGAAACCTAACCTGTACCACACTGGAGTTTTCACCAGCCTCCAGCTATAAAGTCACGGAGAGGTGCACATGCATGCAATTCCTTCACAGAGAGAGGCTTGGCCGGTGCATGCCATTCGCTTTGAATATGCACACGTTGTAAATGAAGACAGGATACGACCGGAAACAGCTCAGATGTGGCAAGCTGGTATTATTTGGTCTCTTTCCAGTCAATAAGGAAAATGATTATTCCCTCACCTTATTACGAACATGAACCGAGACTGATTTCCTATCATCTGTCCTGGCAAAACACGCGTGCTGATGGGAAGCAAGCTGTTTCGAACTGACGTTTGTGATGACTTGTTTACCCAGAGCTGTTCAACTGAGGTCAAATGTCTGTAGAAAACACATGGAGGCATGTTGAACACCGCTTTCCCTCAAGATTTATACTAATCAAACATATGGCACGAGGAGAAACGAATAAACCCTTAATATTTGATCTCTATAAACATTAAAATTCAGTTTAAATCCATTGTAAATTCAGCCCCGAGACAATTTATCTTATCTGGACTATAAAAAAAGTGTGTATAATCTTATTGAGGTGGAGAAGTGCACACACACACCCTGTTTTTTTTTCTCCTACCCTGCAGTCAAACACTTCTGCAACTCCTGCCTCGCACCCCTCGTCCCCCCCATCCCCACCTCCTCATGTTGAAACCCATTACAGAAATACAATTTCTAATGCCTTCACACAGGCCCGCGATCGACTGCAAACAAATTTATATTCAGCCCGTAAACAGAGAGCAGCAGAGATTTATTTATTGAGCGGAGAGGAGAGAAACAAGCTAGCGCGTGAACCCTGGGTAACCCCACAGCTGACATGAAGATGGATAAGTGTACCATGCAAATGTACAGAGGGAAAGGATATATTGCACTCCGTCATTCAGTGCATTGCTGCCCGTAGAATTCCATTTATTCTTCCAGCTGGGACCAGATCTCTGGGGTTGTGAGTGCACGGTTATACATTGTTGATTATTTGAGATGGTTTTTTAATCACTGCAGAGCCCCAGTAAAACTCTTTATTGGTCATAAGCAGAAATTCCTCCTTCTGTCCTGTGCAGTAGTTCAAATGTTTAAATGCAAACAATATCATAACAATTAGATATATAATCAATGTTATTTTTTATTCACTATTCACATTTGCCCTTTTATTTAAATAAAATACATTTTATGCAAACAATATCATAACAATTAGATATATAATAAATGTTATTTTTATTCACTATTCACATTTGCCCTTTTATTTAAATAAAATGCATTTTATGCATGTTAAAAAACTAAAATGCTCATAAACTAACCTTGTTCACATTATTTTAATGAGCAATGCCATAGTGCTTCCGATTCCTAGACCTAGAGAAGACAGACAAACACTTACAGACAAACACTTAAAGTGACTTACAGCACATTCAATTTATATATTTTTGTCTCTCACAATGTAAATCTGATGCAAATGTGCAACTAACTGACGCTTTTTGACCATGCGTCAACATCCGACGCATATGGCACCCTTTAACGTCAATATGAGACGCGCCTCCTAGTGGTCTAACCCTAAACCTACCCCAGACCTAAACCTACCTGCGTCATCTAACTCAGTGGTTCTCAAACTTTTTCAGGAGGAGGCCCCCTTGTGTAGGGTGAATCCTTTTGTGGCCCCCCAAAAGAAAACTCATAACGAAAACATCCTCAAACGTACAATTTTACTTACAAATTTTAGATTGTACCAAAAACAAATGAATTTGTACAATGCTGGAACAACAGTTCTGTTTTTAGCTTTATGTCTTTGAATATACAAAATTAGTTAAATTGTACATTTCATTAAATATAACAATTTTTTATAAAAAATGGTTTTGACAGTTAACAGTAATATTGTCTGAAAAGTGCAACAAAAGTATTGAATACTGAACATTTGTGATGTTCATAGTAAAAGATGAACACTGAAAAATTAATTTGCTGATTGTAAAAAAGTGCATTAAACTTCTTACATTTTAAGGTAGTAAATGGCAGTGGCTCAAGTTTGGTTGCAAATTTGAACAGCAATCTGTTTTTTCAGCAAGAAACAAAAAAAAAATTCTATACTCTACTTAAAGAAATACTTTTTCAATAGAAGACATACAATGTTATACAAGTTTTACAATATAAAAGAAATCATGCAATGCAGATTTCACATAGGACAATCCAAACTTACATACAGGTAAAATATTTTTTTTTAAATAATTTCATATTCTAGAATTTCTGTGCGGCCCCCCTAGCGCTATCTAGTGGCCACGGCCCCCAGTTTGAGAACCGCTGATCTAACTGACGCTAAAGGTTGCCATGTACGTCGGATTTAGACGCATGGTCAAAAGCGTCAGTTAGCTGACGCGGATGAGCAACTTACGCTAAAGGTTGCCATGTGCGTCGGATTTAGATGCATGGTCAAAAAGCGTCAGTTACATGACACCCAAGGATGAGAATGCGTTGGCATTTCTCAATTTTCTCTGTTTTTATATTTTTCGTATTATATTTTAACTTTGAAATCATTTGACTCAGTAAAACTTTTTCATGACTGAGCTACTTACTGGAAGGAAAGACCATTCAAGTCTGAAAGTAAAGGCCACATCTGTTACAACGGGCTGCCACTTCTGAACAGATGTGAGAGTGTTGTAACCTCGGGTAATATCTCGGGTGTTCTACGTCTAATGCTCTATGAGTTTGGAGAAACTTTTTGAAATGTCACATAAAACATAATGAAATGCACATGTGAAATAGTCAAAAATTCTCATATTTTAGACATGATAGATTAACAAAGCAAGGCTTTAAAGGTTCAAAGGGTATCTTACAAGGACATATTTCATAATATTTTGGCTTGAATTGATCTAGTAAATTAAAGTTTCAATACCACATGAATCACATATTAGTTAATAACATCAATTATCATATTCCATACATATACGTATATAAAAAATGATTAGTGTAATCTTCTACAACTTATAAAAAAGTTGAAAATTGCTTAACTTATTTTGATAAGTTTAAGCAATGTAAAAACATTTGTAGTCATAACTTATTGATCATATACATTTTACAGTGTACATTTCGCCATCCTCAAGTGTAATGGGTTCAGCCAATTATTGCTTGAAGATAGCAACAAAAAAAATCAAATCTGATGGAAAAACGAAGAAAAGAAAACAAGAAGAGAATGAAAGAAACTCCGTAATAGTTATTTCTTATTTCTCGAGGAAAGTAACAAAGCTGGTCAAAAACTCCTTTTATGGATGTGTACCTACGCTACTTAATTACAAGACAAACTCCTCTTAGAATGAAAACAGTGAAAAGTTTTAAATGCAATTATATATTTTTTTCTCTTTTATTCAATATGTAAAAGGCAGCAAGTGTATAATTAAGTTTAGCATATTAAACTTAGGCCTACCCTAAAATAAAACTCTTATTTTGTATGAAACGAGTATACTTAACGAATTAAACTTTTTTTTTTAATATTGTCAGTTTAACTTGCCATTTGTTTTGAAACATTAATATTTCTCAAAAATAAAAGCTTAAACACTTTTTGTACCCGCGGTTGATTACTGCAGGGAGGCTCTGCTAATTATCATCTGACCGCCGAATGACCTGGGACGACAGATGTTTACACATAATCACTCAGAAATCTCATACAATGACTTTATGATTCCCTTTTAACATCATTTCAGCTGTTATGTTAGATTCCCCGTGGCCATAGAATTCTACACAGAGTTTAGAATTATGGAGAAAGTATGGAGACTCTTTACGTTGAACAAATCTGTTTTGTTAAATAGATCGGAGTATAAAATAGCACACGGAGGAATGCAATTGTGTTAACGTGGGTTACCTGGGAGATACAGCCTACGTTTCTAAGATCCTTTTCCAAGTTTGAATGAATTAATAGGCTAAGATCCATGGCTTCCCCATTAACAACTATTGACAATCCAGGCTTAAGACCTTATTCGGGTGAGCTAAGGCTGCAATACTGACTAAACATGTCATTGATTTTCTGCGCGTGCTAATCTAAAACGGACTGGGCCTTCCGAGAGAGAGAAAAAAAAAACAATCAAGACAACATGTGTCGAAATTTTTTTTTTTAAATGTATGGGTTAACTAAAATTTAAAACACTACCCGTTAGTGAAATTAAATTGGATCTGAAACAGAACAAAGAATCTATTCATATCCTAAATGTGACTTTTCACAAATCCCTTGAACATTTGTGCAAAATTCATATGAATCATCCAGCATAATGTAGTGCGCTTTTATTAAATTCAATATTATCCACTATGAACTGTAGTGCTGATTGACCCCTCTTCGCGCACGCGCGAGCCCACACACTCCACGAGACCTTATTAGCAGGTCAAATAAGTCATTCAAACTTGCTTGCTTTGGTAAATTAACGCTCACACAGATGAAGGAGATGTCCGGCTATTGGCCAAGAGTTAGAGGGCACGTCATCCCCATCCATCAGCGATCGAATGTTTCTACAAGGCATGTCCCTGTCTAGATCTGAGCCTCTGTCCTCTTGCGCGCTATGTGTGGCATCTGTGGATGGAGTTTCTGTCGCGTCCAGCCTCGAATGAAAATCTGGAATACATGAGATGCAGCCATGAATTCTTATCAAGGGTTCAGGGACACAACGTCACTTTTCAAGGGCTATCATGCTACTGGAGTAATGCGTCTGCATCAGGACCACGGAGCTACTTCTGACTTCCCTAGCAGAGACGAGGGATATGTTAACAACACCGAGGCGGATTTTCTTCAATATCACTTCACGAATCTCAGTGCCACGGCCACAGGCGCGTGTTCAAAGCCCTGTGAGGACCCTGGTCTTGCTAACTCGACCAGACCCCCCTTCCCCCATAACCAAGACTTCTATAGAAGACCAGTGCACCCCGTTCGTCCCCAAGTCCCCTCCTTCCAAAGCTGTCGTATGCAGGGTCTCTCCAGAACGGGTTTCTCGTCTTCCTCAGACACTTTAAGAACTTTCTCCGGCGCGCTTTGTGAACTCGGCCCTGTCAACAACACACACCTCGCTGCGCGCACATGCGACGGCCCAGTGCGTCACCCTCCAGTTCAGGACAATAGCACCAGGCACGAGGCTCCTATGAACACGTTAAATGAGACATTACACAGTGAAAAGACATTCGACTGGATGAGAGTGAGGAGAAATCAATCCCGTGCTGGTAAGTTGACTTTTCTAGTTCGACGAACTTTTTTGCAGCGCATCTTAACTGACCGAGTGGCCGCGCATCCTTGCTTTTAAATCTTAGTGATGTGATTTAAAATATAATGCGTTTGCTAATGGTGTTTTTCAATTATAAAATGGTTAAGAAAGTGTATCCAAAGTTGGACAGTAACTTTTCAGCAAGCAGAAATTAATATTTGGAGGAGGAGCTATGTTTGGCTATACCTGTGAAGGCCACATTTTTAAACATGTACTTACAAATATAGTGAAGCATGAGAAAATTAAAGTGGTCCTAACTATACATAATCCTCACTTTAAATTTACCCATATAAACTGGATTGTAGGCTTTGTTGTCAATAGGCTAATATCACCACCTCAAGACCTCCACATCATATAATCACCTTAAAATAATATAGTGAAACCATGTACTTAAATAAAAAGTAAATTGCTAAGGTCAAATAATCTGAGCCATATATGTATAGGCCTATGTGTATATACATATATATATGATTATAATTAATATATATATTATATATGTGAGTGTGTGTGTGTGCTTGTCAATACACACACACCACACACACACACAAATATATATATGGGGATCAATTATATATACTATAAACACACATTATCTAAACAAAAACTTTTATGTTGCTATTAATCGATCTGACACTAATATATATGTGTGTGTGTGTGTGTGTGTGTGTCTGAATACACACACACACACACACAGATGTATATGTATATGGTGTATACGGCTCAGATTATTTGACATTTACATGTCAGACTATAAGTAGACTGTAAGCAGAAGTATGAAGCAGATAATGAAACATCCTCTGCAGATGTGGCACATGTCAGGGACAGAAATCAGGCTGCTTGTTTTATGGAGAAACCTTTACAAATTAAGCAGAGTGTAATACATAAAATCTGCTCTTGTGCCTAAATGGGTCAGCAACAACATGCTAGGCAGAATCCCTCCATTTTTATAAATAGCATCTTCCATTTCATTGTATTCTCTATGTTCATCCCTTTAAAAACGCTCTCATTGACAAGCAGCAGCCCAGGCTATATTTAAAGGAGTCCAGCACCCCCTAGCTCTCCATTCAGAGCCAAATAAACTTCGGAGGAACACTTTTCCTCGACAGAGCCCTAAATCTTAATAGAGACCAATGTTTATATGCTGCAATTAATTTTCTATATTGAATGTCGGAAAATGTCTGTCAGAATCTCAGCGTAATCCTTAACCAGAGTAATGATTGGATAGGTCTGCGTTTAATGCAGTTCAAATGTGAGTTACTTGACATGTGCTCATAAAATGTCACGCTCAATGACATTTGACCTGTATTATGTCAAAGTATTTCATGTTTGTTGTGAGAGCCGTGCGTTAAATTGTGAATCGCTCGCCCCCCTCAATAAATCACGATATATGTAATAGGTTGATGGTAAAACCAAGAAGAGCCCTGTTTGATTTGTCATTTCCTACGAATCAGTAATACAGCATTCATATGGTTTCCAGACTATCAGGGAGAAGAATGTCTAGCCAGGCCACACTGATGATCTAAAATAACTCACAGGCAAATATGTCAGTGAAAAGGTCATTTCGGGCTATATCGCCCAGCGTATGAACAATAGCTGTGGTCAGGAAACAGAATAGAAAGGCCTGCCATATCAAATCCCAAAAGCTTGAATGGCGGCAACAATTTGCGTACTGTTGTGTCTGTTGTTTGTTTTGCGTCTGCCAGTCCACCCACATATATAATATGCACACATTATACATACATACATATTGCACTCATTCTTACCTAGATTTGAACTTTACTGTCCCTTTAAGCTTAAAGGGATAGTTCACCCAAAAAAACTTTCATTTACTCTCCCTCATGTCATTGCATGCATTTCTTTCTTGTGCGGAACACAAAAGAAGATATTTAGAAGAATGGTGTGTTCCAAGCAACATTGGATCCCATTGACTTTTATTCATGGAGACATGCATACAGGTTTGGAATGACATGAGGGTGTGAGTAAATGATTCATTTTGGGGTGAATTTCCCCTTTGAAGAGGAGTGTAAAATAAAATGGTCACTACAACCCTCTGTGCTTAATGTCTTGGTTTTATCACAAGGCTTATGGAGAAAGCATTGTATGATGATATATGAGAGGTCTGTCAACAAGTGCTTAAGATAATACTCACGTCAACACAGCAGCCAAAGTCAAATGTTAAATGGTAGGGCGAATGTTTATTGCCTGCCCCTTTACTGAAGTTCATTATAACCTAATGAAAAAAAAAAAGAGAAAAAAAGATTATTATTAAAGGGAAAAAAAACATTAAAGGGATGGTTCACCTGTATGACTTTCCTCATAAAAGAAGATATTATGAAGAACATTGGACTCCGTTGAATTCGCCTGATGAGACATTTTTCACAGTATTCCTCTTTGCAAGTCAAATGGGTTTGGAACGACATGCGGCTGAGTAAATGATGGTCGAATTTTTGTGTGAACGATCCCGTTAAGTCAGAGATTCCATGCATTGTGAGGGTTATTGTTCTTACTGGGCAACATCAAATGTTTCCTATACTCAACATGAATAAAAGCTTACACAGAGTGTCTGACTGGATCCCCCAGTACAGTGCACACAGTCCCAGTGCGTCATTCTTCAATTATACCCTGACAGCACCTGAATTACTGTGGGCTGGATGCCAAGATGACCGAGGCAATCTGTATCGATCCCCACCCCCCATTCCCTTGCTCTCTTTTAGGCTTAGTGGGGCACGTCATCCCTCTGGCTGGTTGGCCATTTCCAAGTTTGCAAGTCATTCCTCAAATGTTTAGTTTGATTCCTTTATGCCTTCTGGCGACTGCCAATTCTATTATCCAGTAACTCATTCATCAGTTTTTTCATGCACACTTTTTATTTCCTAAGGAAATTGCTTAATTACTTCATATTTGTCAGTGAATGCACTGATTGTTAGAATATCCCTTGTGAATATCAGAGGTGACCCTACAATTGCTTTTTTTTAACTTTCAGTTGCACAACGAGAGCGAGATAAACCAACTGTATGATCAACTGTTTGTGCTCTAAGCCTACGAGAAAGGGTGAGGGATTGACATGTACACTAAAAATTGCTGGGTTGTTTTAACCCAACTTTGGGTAAAATATGGACAAACCCAGCCATTGGGTTAATTTTTTTTATTACATTTTTAACCCAGCATTTTTAGAGTGTAGAGTTTATTCAGCTCTTTGGGAAGTGTTTTAATTAAATACTCTCATGCAGGTAAATGCAACAAAATGTCAAATAAATATTCAATGTTTTAGTTGCAATAACAAAAGGAAGTATTTTAGGAAAGACATTAGTATTTTGTTATTGCATTTGCAACCAAAGCATTGTGCATTTATTTGACTTTTGTCTTTGTATATCCTGCGCTGGGTCAGACTGTACGTCCATGACTGCAATGACACGACCAAAAACACACACAGAAAAATACACATGGTGCGCAGATGGCACAGAGGTTAGAGAGACACTTGCAACTGTAGCAGTATGTGAGGGAGGGCTCAATGCCTGCAACACCCCTGGGGATTTTCCCATCCAACCCCTGTGTGTGTGTGTGTGTGTGTGTGTGTGTGTGTGTGTGCCGTAAAGGAATGTGCAACTTCCTGTGAGCTTCCAAAAGCAAACAACACAAGCAAACAACAAAACATGAGTCTGATTTCCATTAAGACAGCTGTTAGTTGACTAGCAGTTAAACTGCAGATTTAACGCTATGCTAAAATGAACACTGTAGAGAAAGGCACATTTATATGCACTAGGTTTTTTTAATTAATTTACAGGAAATTCAATTTTGGGCATAATGGAAAAAAAAACTGGAAAGCAACAGCTTTGGAATATTTTTATGACAGGCCTGATGGACAGTGCATGTGACCCCTGACCTACAGTCATCTGTGAGGAGCAAACAGACAGTCCTCTATTTAGCTTACTGAGACAGGGTTTGCATACAGATGAAGGTCAAGCAATCAAAAACTCCTCCTCAATGAAAATTACATTCACTGAAAAAGTCACAAATGAGTGACCACTGACTGCAGGAAGCCTAGCAAATATCATTAAGGCTGTAGAAAAATAAAAATGTTTCATCAATTTTTTTTTACTTGGCAAGTTGTCTATATGGAAGAAAATAAAGGCTTTTCAATGTCATACAGAGATTTTGCATATAGCTAATCAAACTTGAAAATGTAATGTAAAAAACATATTCCTGTCTCAACAAAAAGGCAGATGTGGAAGCTGTTTCAAATATCATTGTTAAACTCACTTTTAATTAGTGTAATATACACTATGATGCAGTGTTTTATGTATATATATGATCAAGGTTGCTTTAACTCATCAAAACAAGTTGAAAAATTGATTTAAACATCCAAACATACTTGCTTAAATTATAACAACAGTGCACAATATGAATATAGCCTAATATTATTATATTGTACCCTATATGCGCTGTTTTTATATTCATGACGTATTCACATAACGTTCATGGCGTGTTTTGAATATAAAATTATATTGCATAACCAAGATATAAAAAAATAGTACTAGCCCTATATTGATATGGTTATCTATTTTTATAAATCGATAACGATAAATTCGTTTCCAACTGTTCGCGGCTTAATTTAAAGCATCATTAGGCCTAATAAATGCCATAATATTTTAGATAACAAGTGTATAACTGAATATATTTACAGCAAACGTATTAACAGTGACACTAACAGTAAAAAAAGTTTTTCGTGTTTCACGTGTTTTGTTTTCCGTGCTTGTCAACACAATTGCAGGTGACATTTTATTCGATCTGAGATGAATATAAAATAATCATGAAATCATTGTTTTTCTTTTTATTCAAGGATGGTAAGCACTGAATTAAACCTTGAATATTGTTTAATATAGAACTCATTTCCTTAACAGCTATACATCTGGGGAGATGCTCGGACCCGGAGCTGAAGACGGACCACGGACGAGATGCTGACGATGACCCCTCGAGTGGAGCCACGCGAGCTAATTTTACCACCAAACAACTCACAGAACTGGAAAAAGAGTTTCATTTCAACAAATACCTGACTCGAGCTAGACGGATTGAGATCGCGAACACTCTCCAACTGAGTGAGACTCAAGTGAAGATCTGGTTTCAGAACAGACGCATGAAACACAAGAAAATGCTGCGGGAAGGCCTCGTTCCTGGATTAATGCTGATTACTGGCTGTGACGAGGACTTGAAAAAAACACACACTTGTTCATCTCCTGACAAAAGATAATTTCAGTAGGGTAAGATTTTGGGCACTGCTGCTATAGGTTATAAAATGTTAACAATCACGTGAATATCATGCGCGAGAGCAAGATAGCTATTCTGTTGACCAAAATGTATTCACACACCCAAAATTAAGTTTGCCCTATACATATATATTCATCTATCTATTCAACTGTATTGTTTAAGAAATTAAAGCAGCAACTCTCTATGATAAAAAAATAAAGTTTCCTCACCTGTTGAGTCAAGCGGAGAAATAAAAACGCACTTGGCCTAATAGTCTTCCTTTTAATATCGTATGTTTTGTCATTATGAATTTGCTTCTGTTATTAAAGAAAAGAAAATGAATCGTTACAATTTATTTAATCAGGGTCATAAATTAATCAGGGTAAAATTGTCAAGAAAAGTGACAAAATTGATATTTATTTAAAATAAAATAAAAGTGAAATGCAAGAAAGAAATGGACTCGTTTTGTTTTTGTATTTTATATAAAATAGTGTGTGTTTAAAATAGTTTACTGAAATGTACAGTGTATATGCAAACTGTACGTTTTATAGGCCTAATTGATAAAAAAAAATGCCCAGGGGTCAATTATTGCCCCTTAATTAAAAAATTAAATAAAATAGATTATTATTTCTGACACTGCTCATCTGATCAGTGTTGATTGGTTAAAAGGCATAGGCTATACTATAGCCTATATATACACACAACAATAGTTTTATTTTTAACAAGCAGCGAACTGAATATCTGAGAAAAGGTATGCCTAATTATTTTTGAACTACTATTTGATGTAATTTATTTAATGTAATTAAAAATGTAATTATTTCTTGAATATATCTTTAACGTGCATCCTATCTTAGTCGCGCGCACGAGCGCAGGCTGCACACATTCAGAAACACTCAACAGGTTTGCTGCTGTTTCTCAGACATACTGTGTCTGTCATATCCATGCTGCTTGTGCTTTTATCTGCAAATAAAGAGCGCCGCACGATGATCGGTGATACTCGTCTTTCTAAATAATGGCGAAAACCTGTCAACGTACAAAGTGCCTCCACTTAGCCGTGCATTTTCACCAATTTATTGCTGGAAGAGGTTAAATCGAGTGCCACGGGTTGAACCTTCTGATACCAACTCCTCATTTTGATATAGCATCAAAGCAGCTTTAAGAACGGTGACGAATAAAGTGAGACATGGGATTTATTTGTTTTTTTGGCACCGTTTACATTTCGAATGCATATCCTCAAAGTGTTTTTATTCATATGCTATCTTTCAGATATAGCCTACTTTATCATTTTAAAATGTTAACATGATAAACATGGAGTTATTTGCCCTGCAGTTTCTCCCCTTTTGTCACTATTAAATTCGTGGATGGACACAATATTTGATCTGGAATGAGAGGGGATTATCGTCATTTCTAAACGACCGATTTATCGATTTTGGGTGGATTTAAGCTGATTGAATTATAATTGATTTTTCGTGATGGGTTGAATAATTGCAGCATTTAAATGCAAGCCATATTTTATTCACTCATTTATTGTTTTCAGCGTAGCCTACTTACAGGATAATGCACAGAAAAGAAAAGTCAGTTTATTCACAATATACTGTTCCTTTAAAATGATTTTTCACCCCTGCATGAATTCCATTTTTTGTTTTGCATAACAATCGTCAAAGATCATTTTCATTTGATGGATTTTGCATATCACCCCCTCTATATAAAAGCGAATTCTCTACAGTCTGGGAAGAGATAAATGATAGGAAAAGTGGAAATGAGTCTTCTATATTATATTAAATGCCCTTACATTTATCTAGCAGCATTAAAATCGAGATGCGTTAATCAAACAATATATCGGCGATTAAAATTAATTGAAATAAGCGTTCCTCGAGACGGCTTGTTCTACATTTTTTTTTTTTTTTTTTTACCTTCGGTCAATTGATAACATGTAATCTCGCAATGTTAGGAACCCTATATGCATAAAGCACGACTCGCATGCCTGAGCCTGCTAATATATGCAGTTACTCCAGAGTTTACCTTTCACCTCTTGACCTCTGTTCTGCCTCGAGACAGCAGTGACCCGGTCAGTGATTCACAGAGAAAAAGGCTGCATTATTAATATGTGTTGCGGCGTCTTTCAAGTTTAAAATGTTTATTGTATGCTTCTAGTTAATTAAAGCCGTGCAAAATTATAGAATGTGTGCATTTATTAACGTATCGTTTCAATTGAATATAATAACAATAACAATTATTGTTTATTCATCTATCCTAGCTATACGTTTTCTTTATATTATCTTTTCTGGTCATGTTTTTTGATGATAGAAAAAAGTTCATATTAAAACAAAGAAGATTAGATAATCAGCTTTTCATGAATAATGGAAATTCTAAACCCTCCAAGTAACTTTTTCATTTAAAAAATCATCATATTTTTAACTAGATATATGACTATTATTTTTGTGCGCTTTTAAGCGTGAATGCGGACTTAATGTTCCCAGGTTTAGGAGAGATAGGCTTGTTTAGCTACAATAGGCTACTGTAGATTCCTTCTCGAAACGTTTGACGCATGAATATGTACAGCGTTCAGGAAGAATGTTTTTTTGTCTGTATAGCTCATTAGATTTCACCTTCACAAGCTGATGTGCGCTTTAGCTCAGTTACACCCGCGTGCAGGGCTTAATGCCCACGTTATGGCATGTGGGCGCACAAATAGATAACGTGATAGAATCAAGTCTAATCTTCACTGCACTGTTGCATTTTACTCAGTAATTGAGAGGAAACTATATTACCTCGCTTATAGCGATGCTCTTAGGATGATGACCAAAGCCATGCATTATTTTATGTATTAGAGGCCTAATATCAGTTGAGTTTGAGTGAGCAACAATGACTCAAATACACTGAGAAAAATGTTTAGTGTTCTTATAGTGTCAGCCACACAAACTGAAAAAAGACACTTTTATTTTACCTTAACTGTGTTAAAAAGTTAAAAGTAAAATACTGATATTATTTACCTAAAGTAAGCTTATATTCTAAACTAACAAATATGTGTTAATCAGCTAATAAATATAGGTTAAGTAAATAAAAGGAAGTATTAATAATTATTATTATTATGGCACCACGTTCATGCAAAAGTGTACATCAAAAGAACAGACCAGCTTCATTAACTGCCCACATTGCTATACTATAAAACAATGTAATATATGAAAATAGTGATGTTTAGATTTAAATGTGAAATCAATTTGAGTGTATTGCTTATTAAAAGACATAAGCACACGTACATATACATTATACTATGTGTGTCTATGTGTAACGTGTATATATATATATATATATATATATATATACACACACACACACACACACACACATATATATATACACACATATACACATATATATATACATATACACACACACATATATATACAGTATATATATATATATATATATATATATATATATATATATATATATATATATATATACACACACACACACACCTATATATATATATACACACACACACATTGTAGTCAACATTTGCATTTGAAGTGGATCAAAACCTTTCACCAAAGTTGAACATGCAATTTGAACAATACCCGTTCTTGTCTTAGGACAACTTTGATGAACTTTTTTGATCCATTTCAAATGTTGACTACTGTATGACAGCATAGAAAAATCATCCCATACAGTTCCCTTCCCATCACCTATATAGCAGTCAAAATTTAATATGAAATTATTGAAATATGGGAATTCAATAAAAATATTTCAAAATACTTAAAGCAAACATGTTCAGAACATGTTAATGTGCATTTAGTATCGCTACGTCAATTGGCTATTTTAAAATATAGCCGTCCTCATACTGACCATTTATGTGGCTGCCTCAGATGATGGCTGATTCTGATGGGTGGTCCTTAAAATGGCTGGTTACTGTTGTACACTTAACAAAAGGAGACACACAGCTTCCAAAGCCTCTTCACATCCCACACACAGTCTCCATTACAACACACACACACATTGTATCAGTTCTTATGCATCGCAAGCAGTAAAATGAAGAACTGATACTCATTTGTTTTCTTGTCAACGGCACACATAAATGGCGGAAGGTAGAGGGAAGGTCTTAAGGCACCTTGCATATATATAACGCTCAGGGGCGTGCGCACGCAGACCATTTTCAAGCCCTCGTTTCTCCTACCATTTACGACTCCGGAGAACAGATGTTTGGGGACAGCTTACAGCCTCAGCGTATTTCTGTGTACAAAGCAAACAGCAGCACTCAGCACTTCTAGCTGGCTAAGAAAATGCGCTCTCTGAGAAGGGGGAGGGGGAGAACGGAGAGAACGGAGCGTAGGAATCCGAATGAGGAAGAGTACGGGAGGCGCTTACAGAGGTGAAACTGTGTCAAGGTTACGTTCAGGGGGGGTTTGCATTCAAATCAGTGCACTACACTATTACAAATATGTGTTCTTGGCATCTATGGTTCTATAAAGAACCTTTGACATCCATGGAACCTTTCGGTTCTATACAGTGGAAATGGGTTCTTCGTGTTACTCACACTTAGAGCTGCTGTGAAAACACCCTATTGGAACCTTTATTTTAAAGATTGTAGGTGATGTGAATGTGACAGTGCAACTCATATGGTCCTACAAGCTCTTCCTCTGTGAGTGTCACTGGCTTATATAAAGGAGGCCTTTATGTGTGGATCCTGGGAAACAAGCGCTGACCTCTATCGTGCAGCACTGCGGACTCTCAAGGTTTGGATTGCCCTTTGAAAAGTTGCAGACAAGCACTACTGGGACCTAAAAGCAAGGCAATAAGAGAGCATGAATATTTTTGCTGATGCAGATATTTGGGCTACAAAAAAACATAAAAGAAAAAAAAACCCACTACATTTATTGCACAAAAGCAAATGGCATATTCTTCATAAAACAAAGAGCAATGCGGAAAAAATTAATAGCAATATTTCAAGGCTTTCTCTTAACAGAAACAAGGAGCAATTTCAGTGTCATGTTTTTTGTTCCGTTTCATCATTCACCTGTAAAACAAACCTTTTATTTCATACCTTCCATATTGAACGCCTGCTGTAAACAAAAGTGCGAAACAAATATGCAAACACAAGCAAATTTGACCTTTCATGTTCACATTTTCAGATAACCAAAAATGAATAAATGAGCCCTGCAATGCTTATTTCTCTGAACTACGCCAACCCCCCAAACACACACACACACACACAC